TCTCACATCTAAAAAGACGATGTGCGGTTACGAAGTGATGAGACATGACGCCATTTTGCGGACAGGCTCCATCAGATGCAGCGGTTGTTATTACTGAGGCATACACAGTTATTTCAATGTCTGTTTCTAGTTTATAGGCCCGCCCAGCCTCCTATCCAATGGGTACCGCAGACTCTTCCCCCAGGGATAAAGCGGCAAGGGCGTGAAGCTGACCACTCACCCACAACTAATGTCGAGGTCATGAAAATGTGGATCTATAAATCCACTCCCCCATACTCCTTAATGGCGCAGTACTTAGTTAAGCACAGGGACAACTTAACCTGTCAGTATCGTACTTCGCCAGTTGACCAGTTATGTGTTCATTCTGATGTCGACCTTGTCCAGGTAAGTTTCTAGATCTTAAGACTCCACGGGGAGGCGTGAAGCTGACCACACCCTTCCATCTAGTGCCGAGGTCAAGGACGGTGGAGCTATACTTACACTATTCCATACGTCTTCATGTCATAGTGCTTAATTGATTAAGCAAAGGGACATCTTTACCTATTTTTATGTGCTGTCCTTACTTCTGTCTTTATATGGATTTTTGTTGCCTCTATATTTCCTCGCCCTTTCTTCATGCATTGCCCTTTTTTTACTTTCATTTCTCTACCTTTCACTCCTTTCCTTGACCTTCTTATACGTATTCTCAATTTTCTTTGCTACGTATGGTTATACATACATACATACACACACCTATAACCGACCACCACAATTCTACATGTTCCTGTCACAGATATTTTACGTTGATCAATCATGCTTCTACGTGAAAGCTTGGAGCTTCGACGGGCTTCATCGGGCACGATTACAGAACATCGCGTAAGGTGTATAAATTCCCGTAGAACTCGTTCCTTAAAAAAGCAGAAACATTTATTAATTAATATTCCACTAACAACAAAATATTTTAATATGAATGAAACAGTAATTATGATACGTGCCCATGATTGCGACGTTACGACGAGTAATCTTAAGGGATTATTGATCGTTCACCAGCTTCTAGTGTCGTTGCCTGGTCCTGAAATTAGCTTATAAGATTACATGGAATTGATGCGTTAATCATTCACTACGGCCTGATCTGGATGCATGAGGTCCAATTTACAGGGCGTATGGGGTCACGACAGGGACAAGACGCGGCGAGGTTAACGGGTTGTAACTTGGCTTAATTGAACAGAGGTGTAAGGAAACTTTCGCTATTAATGCCGCATAAGAAGAACACTATGGGCGCACTGCTCCTGGTGGTCACTCTACTGAATACTTAACACAGGTACAAACTGACTGGCTGTACTACACTCATAAAGCTGGTAATGTTTTCCCTGTGCTTAACTTAAGCACTACGCCATGAAGACGTATGGCTGGTGAATGTATAGATCCACGTATTCTTGATCTCGGCAATAGTTGGAGTTGAGCGGTCGTCTTCACGCCTCGGCCTATTTACCCCCGGATGTGGGAGCAAGAACCGGTCTGGATGATGTGAAGAGGAGAATTCCTTACCGGGACCTGATCTCGGACCCGTAGGCAGTCGCTACACCGCCTGCGCTCTCCCGGAACTTACTGCACGCATAGACGTTGCAGAAAGCAGGGAGCACAGCTGTACATGGCGTAGTCTCCCCGGTGGCGGCGGGGTGTGGCTGATAAGATCCTACGTGATAGGATAAGTGCGTGTACGCTCCAGGGCCGGTTAACTGATGTGGTAACAGTGTTAACTGTTAGCCGAATATATCAGTCTTTTTTGTATCTGCCCGTATTTGAGAGAGAAAATAAGTAAAAAAAAAGTAAAACGTATAGTTATCCCTGTAACAGGCCGTGGAGGCCCATAGGGTTGTGAGACGTTGAGGTTCCCACATTTTCTAGATGGCGGCAAGGTTGTCAGCCTTACGCGCCGGCCGCGCTTTACGCCCATGAACATTTCAAGAATATTCCTGGTACTCATTTCTGTTAGAGGCTGAGTCGACCCCAGTGCCATAGTGCGGCTGGAAGGATTAGGTAAATTGGAAAATTTTACCTCATCGGGATTCGATCCCGCGACCTTCCGGCTTGTAGCATAGTGCCCCCATTTGCGAGAGAACCTTATTTTATTTTATTTTATTTCTTCAAATTCGAATGAGATCTACTATCGATAGTTCCTTAAACTATTTAACTCATGACTCAGCTTGCAAAATAATGCAGTCCCGATTAACAAGACACTGTACGAATGACAAGTGGAGAAATCTGTGAGAACATGTAATCACGGCCTGTTCTAAGATGTTTTGCCTTCGTTTGGAAGACTGGAGGTGAAATATTAAATCAGCAGTCTTTAGCTATGATTCGAATGGTGTCCCCCTCGAACACAAACATGGAATATTACTGTAATATTTGCTGCCAAGACTGAAGTTCTTACGGACTTCATTAATAATAGAGTTCTGCTGTGTTTTGTCTGTGTGTTTTGACGAAGAAAAATGGTTCGTGTTATAATGCGTAACTTACAGATCACAGTAAATAATGTATAGTTTAGAAGAATTAAAAATTTTTTAAAACATAGCCACACCACAAAAATGTAAAAACGCACATACACAGAAAACTACTTGGTCCACATATTTTCCGTACTCACCTTAAACAGGCTTATCAAGTGAAAGGCAAATTACGCAGTTCATTCCCATAGAAAGCCGTGGCATACAGGTATATACACAGACAGAGTGAGTTGACTAAACTGCTTATAAGCTAGCGTCATAATGACTCAAAATACGAAGTGGCATTTCTCTTACCTGGGAGCCTTCTATATTCTGTTCGAATTACATATATGCGGGATGTATGTAAATAAAACATTGGCAAATAAAATGTTAACTTACTGTTGGCTTGCAGGCCGGAGAAGTAATCTTTGCACCATACACACGAAGCCTATCTTCAGTGTATCCTTCATTCATTCATTCTCAGTGGCTCTACAGCCCTTTGTTGGGCCCTGGCCTCTTCTTCAGTTATGTAATCTTGTTCACACAGACGGTAGGACTCCTTGGATTAGCGATCAGGCCGTCACAAGGCCTCTACCTAAACACAGTACAACACAAACACAGAATAAATGCGTACACAGACATCCATGCCTAGAGTGAGATTAGAACCCACGATCTTAACGTTCGAGAGAGCGAAGAAAATTCATGCCTTAGACCTCGTGGCTACTGTAACCTGCTTTAAAATAGCGGACATTGCTGAATTGTTGGTATGCTGTAAACTGTACTTCAAACTCGACTTTCTAAGGCCGCGCCATAGCTCAAAAGGTTAGTCGCTGGCTTCCCGATCCCGGGTCTGGTCAAGTGGGATTTGTGGTGGACAAAGTGGTGCTGGGGCGGGTTTTCTCCGAGTACTTCGGTTTGCCATGCCAATCTTCATTCCACCAAATTCTCCATCATCATAATCACCCGGGACAAGCTACAATAGGTCAATTAGTGGCCGCCGAGCCGAGTGGACCCAGTTGGACTCCACCCCACACTAAGCGAACTCGACTTTCTATCTGCCTCCCGTTTGTTTACATGCACTTCGTAAACATTCCGAGTGTAGTATGATACCAGCCATCCACCCTGAGGATATTATCAGACAGCAGTTATGGTGATTTTCATTGTAATTAGAGACTGAGCCAGTTCTGCTGTTTGCGAGTGGCCAGTCAGCGCAAAGGTGGTCAGTACAGGAGCCAGCTTCTGCTACCAAACTCACATCTGCTCCTCTTATAGCGCTGTGCCAATTTTTTCTCTGATGTAGAACAGAGGCGTGGATTTGCATTTCCAAGCTCTCAAGTACTTTAAGAGAGAGGACGAATACAAAGGACAATTTATACAATTTCCAGAGGTTCAAGAACGAGTTGCTACAGCTTTGGGTAATGAAAAGCGGACCAGGAAGCCCCGGTGCCATCCGAAAATACCACCTATGTCGTTCTCGTCTTCAAGGAAAATTGCAACGAGGCGCAAGAAAAGAGCGTAGCTTGACTCTAACGACAAAGTTTAATTACAGGAGATGTTTTTGATGCATATTGGGAGGGGGGGGGTATAAAATAAATCCCAACATTAAAAAGGGAAATTTGGTATTGAGACTATGGATCTATTAGTTCAGGGTTGGTTATATTAAAATCAATACGGTTTTTATTTAAGATATCGATTGATGGGACGTTTCACCATGCTGAATTTGGCATCACTCCATGTTCTTTTATTCCTTGTTTCCTCCTCCTCCTTTACTTCCTTCCAGTCGAAGTACATGTGAGTTTGATGATACGCCTTGGCCTCCTGATGAAAAGACTTAGAGCACAGTGTTGCCGTGTACCTTTCTGCTTATTTTATTCCATTTTTGCCTTAGTCCTCTTTCTTTTTAACCGGATGTTATTATTATTATTATTATTATTATTATTATTATTATCCCCAAACAATTTTTAAATATGGTATAATTGTTGTTACTATTTGCATGAACATAAACAAGAATTAAACTAAATTAGTATTATTATCCTATCTGAATATCTATATTTTTCATTTCTCAATTAAATATTCATACGTTTAATTTCTCAGTTCTCAGTAACAACTTAAATTTATGTTAATGAAATTATAATTTTTTTTGTTTCCTTACTTGTCTGCATTATTGTGTTTTTTCCTTCGTTGCTTTCCTGTAATTTGTTTTTCAATATATGTTGTGTTTGTCCAGTATGTAACTAGTTTTATCTACACTGTTCTGTGTCTATAACTGGCCTTGCGGCTGTTGACTCAGCAAATAAATAATAAAGAATTGAACTGAATTGTATTATTATTCTATATTCCAGTTTTTAGTTTTGTGTGCATTTAACATGTTCTGCTACAAGATTCTTTTTGTTAAAAAGCACTGAAATTAAGGAATCGAATTATTATACACAAAGACATATTCAAAATTAACCCTTTTGCTTCACAGTTGTAGGATTTTGCAAATCGTGTTGACATATTTTGCTGTGCTTTCATTGAATTTCCCTTGATTTATTTCAGATCGTACGATTGCTCTCGCTGCGTAGTGATCCACGAGAAACACCGAAATGTCCTGCAATACAAGGAAAGTAAGTACACCAACTTTACAATCAAATTAATTTCTCCGAATTTTCCTCTGTCCCCTTAGTTAGTTAGTTATTAGAGAGGGTGGGTTTCCCCATGCACTTAGACCTGTAGTGGTCCATTGTGCTTCCCTCTATGATTTCTACCAGTCTCTATATCCTACCGGTATTGGTGCTTACCATCAGTCCCGCCCAGCCAGCGAGACCGGCTCTACTGGCTGAGAAGTATCTATAATGCTTCCCCCATCTATCGGAGGTATTAGTGACTGCTGTTGGGCGGGAAACGTCCGCAATTTTGGCTCAGTGACCTCCTTTGGAGGTATGAGTTTCTTTTACGTGCCGTAAAGCTACGACACGGGACCCACGCTTAAAGTCCCTCCCGGAGGACTTGTTCCCTGAATTTTTCCGCCCTTAAAAATTCGACGATCTCCGCCGGGCATTTGAACCCGCGTACTACGAGTCATGAGGTGGGAACGTTACCTCTAGACTACGGAGGCCGCTCTCTGTCCCCTTAGTCGCATGATTTTGAGTGAGTATGTTTTAATGGAAGTTGTCTTCGGTGTTTTCATTTGTCATCAAAGAGCTATTACGGCACTTGACAAACTTCGCATTCTTAAGAGTAAGGTGTAAGTCGCGAAAAGTAGGCATATGAGAGGAGTGATCGGACATGACTGAATTTAACTGCCGAAATTAGGTCGCACATCACTTCGATTATTATCGTAGGGCCTACTCGATTGTCTTATATGTGTTCATCACAGCAGACGTATGTTATGTCCTTTTTAACATAACGTAGGTAGTACAGCAGTAAAGTAAGTTTGCCCCTCTGTTTAATTAATCTGTCATTACGTATCAAGTGGTATGGAGGAGTGGATGTATAGATCCACGTATTCTTGACCTCGGCACTTGTCGGAGGTGAGTGCTCAGCTTCATGACCCTGGCCACTTCAACTGCGGGGAAAGAACCCTATTGGATAGGGCGGGTTGGGTGGGCCTCAGAACCGTCTGGACTACGTAGAGAGATGAAATTTTTTCCCTACCGAAATACGAACTGCAGCCACTTGCTCGCGCTGGTTCCTCACTCGCGGATTTTCTACCCTGAAGATAGAGGCGATATGTTCCTTCGAAACGTCGGTTCACACAATATCTTCAGGCGCCACATCCCAGAAGACGGTATTCTTCAATGCGTCAATAAATCTAATCGTGCAATCCAAAACATGTTATTACTGGTCACGAAGCCATAAACTCGTGACAATGTATTCTATTACCCCGAAAGAGAGTAAGAAAGAATTACCTGTGTTTCATCAACTTTTACGTCAGTCTGGCTGATATGAGACCAGGTTGTTATGTACACTAAACTTCGTTTCATAAAAAACAAAAGATACTCCGTGGCCTGTAGTCCGCAAACGAACTCTACCGACCGAGCGACCGCCGCTTGTCGGCGAAGTTAACGCCAACTTCAGCGGATAGAGGGCGTCGCATGGTCGGCGCAGCGGATCCCCACAGCCGTTAATCTCAGTTTTCTAGACCGGAAAACTGCGTTTCATAAAGATATGTTAAAATTCTTTATTGTTGATACAGGTTGTAATCCTCTTCCTTGGCCTCATTTGGACCGTATGATCAGATTTATTGCTCACTCCTGCCTTGTCAGTGTCAAAAGTGGCACTCAGTGTTCGCTACATTTGCCTGTTTAAACCCTAAACTCATGTTGTTGCCAGATGACAAGCTTTCCATTGGCTAGTGTGACAAATACGAGTTATGACATTCTGCCCCTCCATCAGTGAAATATGCACTCTGAGTTGCCTTGATTGATTGACAGCTCAATGTATGCAGTCAGTTTTATGAACTGAAACCTATGTGCTTGGTTTATACCTAGTCGAGCAGAGGTCAGTATTTTGTCTGTGGCGTTTGCATATAATTTTCCTTGTTTATTTGATCTCTTATTAATATCATACATTGCAGATTTCGTTTGCCTGTTCCCATCCCAAAATACTCCCTCCCCCCCTTAACAGTGTTCTGACTCGGTTTTTCTGTCCTGCGAATCTAGGAAATGTGTGGAAAGTTAGTGCGTATTTGTCAGGAAGTGTTAGTGGTAGGCCAGTCGCACACAGTAGTGAAGACAATGACAGGGTTTGTTTTAGGGCGGCCGCGCAACTGAGTCAAGACAAGCATCAAGACATGAGACAAAAAACGCAGTTTTGCTTCATTCGTGATTCGTCAGCATAAAGCTGACGTCAGCATCATGACTCAGACCGGTGTGCGGCGGTTTTCATAATCTCATTCGTTTCAACTGTGCTGTTTTTTTTTTGCGACATGTCGCAGACATCGTGTCTTGACTGTTAGATGTCTTGACGCATGCCGGTGTGCGGCCTACCTTAAATAACTTGTGTGTGTCGGTTGCTTTTAAAAACGAAATCAGTCGTGTTAATTATGAGTCAATTTCTACGCTGACAACTAACATGCATATGGCTTGCAGTGACCTTCAGGATGTGAACCCGCCATTTGTATAACGACGCTTTTGGTATCTCACCTTACAGCTTTTCATGATAGGATATTTAGTGAACAATCAGTTGGAATTAATGTGGAAGGAAACTGTTGCTTAATTGAAGTCTATCCCAACATTCGGCTGGAATGACTGTGGGGAATATAAACAGGAATATAGTTTCCCTGTCGGAGATTCAAACTAGGTATCCCCGAATACAAGTCAGAAAATTTAGTGGTTTGGCCAACTTTTCAGTCGTGTAATGTTTTCCTTTTCCATAGTAAAAAAAAAAAAGTAAAGCTATCCCTGTACCAGGCCGTGAAGGCCCATAGGGTTGTGAGACGTTGAGGGTCCCACATTTTCTAGACAATCGGCTCAAAGATGGCGGTAAGGTTGTCAGCCTTACGCGCCGTCCGCGCTTTACTCCCCAGGAAAATTATTTAATTAATTCCTGGTACTCACATCTGTTAGAGGCTGAGTGAACCCCAGGGCCATAGTGCGGCTGGAAGGAATAAGTCAATTGAAAAAAATCCAATGACCTCATCGGGACTTAAACCCGCAACCTTCCGGCTTGTAGCCTAGCCCCTCAATCAACTACGGTACCGCTTGCCCCTTTTCCTTCTCCATAAGATGAATATTATAAATTGTTTTAAGACATAATCGAAATAATTTAATTCCTTCAGTGCCAAAATTGTTGTATAACTATCTTAATTTTCTACAAGGACATAAGGTCCATTTTCGTTAATTTTGTTCATAATTTCCTGGTAACATGTGACATTGTCAGCAGAATGTCGCTGCTGCCCTCAGAATGACCAGTCATGTTTTCTTCCTATTATTAACATCCCAAAAGTTCTTTATCATTAATTTCCATGCTGAATCCTCAATTCCTCCTTACAAAAAGCCCCAGAGGTAGCAAATCTCGTACTTTTCGCGCCCCTCCCTTCTCATACACCTGAAGCATAGTCCTAATCCTAATCCTAATGCGTGCATCAGTGTACACTCTTATTCCCTAAGGAATAACTTAGTCCCTTGAACTTCTAGAGCCTCAAATGGAACATGCATTTTCTTTTGATCCCCTGTGTGGTTCAGCTATAATGACTCTGTAAAACCGTTCTGTAATCCAGAAGAAAAACGGTAGACTACACCTGATACTGAAGTAAATACCTCCTGGAGATGTTCTTTGTGATCGGGTAAGTATTTTCTGATGTAAACCAGACACAGTACAATGGCATTCTCATGTAACAGAAGCAGTAACTCGCTTTGCCTCGGTTTTATAGTGTGCCTATTCGTTTGTGTTAAGTTACACTTAGGAATACATTTCAATGGATGAAATAACATAATATTTACAGAATTAATCAACAAGATTTTGCCAACGGGAACGTCAATATATTTGTACTTTTTGTGCAATTATGCTTGCAAACTGGCAGTCACCAAGAACTCGCCGATCACAGTGGCCACGCGGTCTAAAGCATGAAAGGTTTTCTCCCGCTCGAGCACTAGGATCGTGGGTTCGTATCTTCGTATCCGACCCTATGGCAAGGATGTTTGTCTGTGTTTAGTCTGTGTTTGTGTTGTCCTGTGTAAGTAGCTGCTTTGTGTCAGACTGATCCCCCGTCCAAGGAGCCATTTCAGCTGTCTAAATTTAAGAAACTGAAGTGAAACGAATCGTTTCACGGATGTTCTATGCTCCAAGTGGGAGCAACAGGAATAGGCATACAGGCAGATGGACATAATAATTTAATTAAATTTCTTAAGTCCGTTCCCGAAATTAAAAGAAAAGTTTCCAGAAGAATGCCCGTCATTCTGTGAATATGCCCATTGGCAACGGTGAACATGCAGCTGAATTAAAAATTCGCTGATTTACACTAACATTTATTAAGCGATTTTGAGTTTAATTTAGTTTTAGTTAAGAGCCGATATGAACTCCTTGCGGACAGTGATAAAACTTAACACATGACAGGACTAAGGCTTATACTCCATGCGTTTTATCATCATCATCATCATCATCATCATCATAATCATCTTCTTCATGGATTGGGCCATGTTTGGTCTGTTCTGTCCTCTTGAAGAACGTGTTGGTCTGTCTATCGTAATTGTGGACAGCCTGTATTTCGGCATTTTTGCGGGTTTTATGTTAAAATTTATTTCATTACTTCATGTAACACGTAATTTGCTTAAGTACCATTCTTATGGGCTTAGCACAGAGTGTTCACTCAAAAGAAAGTACCCCGAATGCAAGGTACTCAAATCCATAAAATATTCATTTTATGTCTCGTTCATATTTTCATAAACAGCATTGTCTGTACCCCTCCCGTGGTGTTTCCATCTCTCTGTGGCATTCCCAATGTACATCACATTTCACACAGCATGCATGTAAAGATATTGGCTTGTACTTCAGAGGTATTAGTTGGAATCTTGACTGAGACACCAGCTGTCTTGACTGAGGTTTTACTTGGTTTTCTTTAGTCCCACTGGACAAGTATTTCTAAAGTTCTAAGATTAAGTCACGCATCCTTAATTCGAAATCC